TATATATATATATATATATATATATATATATATACATATTTGGTATATAATGAACATGGATCTCAAAATCCTTCAAGTGTGCACTAGACATTCAATAATAAAGGCTCTAGTTGGGGTCGGTTGATTTTGTCGACTTTTATATTAGATTCTGATTACTCCCCATCTCTCTCTCCCTCCCTCCCTCCCTCCCTATATATATATGTGTATATATATATACACACCATACCCTTCTTCTTAGCCACCCAATTCAAGGAATAACTCCTCACTCTCTCTCTCTCTCTCATCAACCCAAAAGGTGAAACACATTCAAAACATACAGAAATGGATGCACTAAAAACATTATCATCACTTCACTGCGAATTGAGGATCAAGAATGCTACAAACATCCAACCTCCCCACTCCAATGGATACTTGTTTGTTAGATGCTATCTTTCGGCTGGAAATAACAAAAGGGTGCGATTAGATAGCCGACTAGTGTCTCCTAATGAAGACTTCTCTTGGGACGAATCCTTCTCCTTGGATTGTATAGGGACAAATCAGTCCATGGACATGATCATCCATGGAACCATTGCCTTAGAGCTTCGTTGGAGGAGTAATACAGTCGCCTTGTTTGGAGGGTCACGACTCCTGGGAAGATCAGAGGTGTCATGGAGAGGTGTTTTTGAGTCGCCAAACATGGAATTGGAGACATGGGTGATGATGAAATCAAAGAAAAACGTCATCAAATCACCATGTGTTCGTATCGCTATGAAGATTGAAGTGCCATCTGGAGTAGATTTGGTAGAAAGGAAGAGGAAGAACAGATGGGATGAAAGTTGTGGGGGCTGCCATGGTGATTGTTGCAGCAACAATACATGCTTTGATAGTGAGCTTTTTGCCATAGGTGCTGCCTTGGATGCTTTCTAAACCAAGTATATATATAGAAGATAAATCACATACATTAGGAATTAGAGGAATTAATTAAGGGGATATGTTTTTTTTTTTGGCTTTAATGTAAATTGCATACATGTATGCATGTTATCATCAAGAAGTATAGATGGACATTTTTTGGTTATATCATTGCAGTTTCCCAATCATAAAACGATGTGGTCTAAGCCAAACTTCCAAAAATCGTTAAAAAACTATTCAACTTCATCATGTCATCACAGTGTGTTCACTTTGACAAAATTACCCAAAATAATTATTTTTAGCAACTGTTTGGGTTCACATAATCACATCCTATACAATACTTGCGTTGTCTGGATATGATATTATAAGGTTTGGTTTACAATTGAGTTAAGCACCTGAAACACAAATTGTCCATGGATATGGAAAAGAGAAATGGATAACTCCAAATAGCCTTTGGCTTCATGAAAGCATGGGTAGGGCTATTTTGAAATTAAGCTTCTGTTATCTCCAGACTAGTTAATTGCAAGCAAATTCAAGATATTGGAAGGAAACGCATCTTTTAGAAATTGTCAAAATCTTTTCTCGTTTTACTTTTAGAAAATTATATATAAATGAAACCAACTTTGATCTAATTCATATTTTATTTTAGGGAACCAATTTTTAAAATGAAGGGTTTGAAGCAAAGTTTTCATATATTTTAGGGTTTTGTTAACCGGTTTAGTAGGTAACCGGTTACCTCAATCTGATGTGGCAAATTTATAAATTAAAAGATATTACGTGGATTTTGGAAAAGCCACATCATCGATAATTAAAAGACCAAATATAAATTAAATAATCAACTAAAATATAATAAAAATAAAAATAAAATCATGTAACCAAACAACTTCCCTCCCCTATCTTCCATGCCCGATGAACACCTCCTTATCCCCATTTGGTCTCTGGATTTTGCAACAAATTATGAATAGATTGTAAATACTAAAATGACCACACATACATTTTTGGTTTGCATCTCTATTTTGATCTTTGTAACAGACGAAACCCAACATGTTTCACGATTCAAGATTTTGTAACCCGAAATTTTTTTAGATTTGCGTCTCCATTTTGGTCTTTGTAGCAGATATAAAACCCATCTCCATCTGGGTCTCTGTATCAGACATAAAACTCATCTCCATCTTGGTCTCTGTAATAGAAATAAAATCCAAGATGGTTCATGATTCAAGAGTTTTTAAGCTAGTATGCTTCAAGATTCAAGATTTTGTGAACCGGATCCAAGAAATATAAGAAATAAGCACCATCATTTTCCTTGATTATAGTATTTCTAGAGACCAAGATGGAAAAAATGGGTTTTGGTTTTTAGAATCAGATCTGCAAATCTAGAAGAAGAGTTGCTAGGTTTTTCAAGGATCAGATTTGCAGATATGGGATCAGACAAAGGGAATCGGAAACCGCCATGGCTATAACCAGTCCCCCCTAAAAGAAGATACGAAGATGAAGACAGAAGGTGAAAAGGAGTGTGTCTATGTATGTGTTTGCTTCGAAAATGAAGACAAAATATGGGTATCTTTTGTGTTTGGGTGAGGCAAAGGTGGGTTTTTTTATGTGTTTGGGTGAGGCAAAGGTGGATTTTTTTATGTATTTGGGTGAGGCAAAGGTACATTGCCGGAGTGGAGCCAGAAGATGAAGACGGTGATCGTTGAGTTGTGGTGGTGGAGTTGAAGGGGAAATGGCACAGTTCTTGGAGAAGGGGAAATGGGGGTGGGGAGAGGGATACGTCATCATTATCAAAGTTGGTTTTATTTTGATGTAATTTTTTTTTTTACATTTTTCAATCTTAAAACCTTTTTCTTCAAAAGCTAAGAGAAGAGTCATTGAATTAGTGTCAACATTAGCAACTCATCTCTCTTGCTCTCAACCCCCTCCCCCTCCCCCTCCATAATTTATATGCGGAAGATCGTGTGAGAGAAGAGTTAAAGTGAGAAACGTGAGAAGAGATGTAGATCTTAAATCATGATTTAATCTCAAACTCATCCATGAATTGTGCTTGATAAAGACATTGATCCAGTGCATCTCGGTACATCTCATCCTAATGTGCATATAAGGTGGAGATCACTTCTTATGGTTCTCATCGGAACCCAACCCTATCAATTCCCTTCTAAAGTGCAATTCATGAACGTACATAAGATCAAAAATGATCAAGGGTTTAGATCTCTTCTTCACTTCTCATCATAACTTCTTTTCTCACTATGTATATATTATTCTTAGATAGATCTCAAATCCTATGCACTTTTAACAATACACCATGGATGTGGTTGAAATCGATTAATTGATTTTGGATAACTCCACTATTATATAGGATCACTACACACCATACCAATCTTTTCTTAGCCACATGAACTTTCTATTTTATATGTCTAGTTGATGTATTTTATATACTATCTATTCTTCGGATACGTTCCATGTGATAAAGGTTACTAGGACGGATTCGAAATGTAATTGGTCATTTCCGGTGTTACCTGCAAACTAACTTATCATTTGTACAACATTAAATACATCATCTCTTTTGGACACATAATCTATACTATATTATAAAACATTTGATAAAAACTTTTAAAAATTATTTTTTATGCACGAAGCACAGTTTATTGATGCATATTACTTAAAATTCAAGATTAAAAGTGATTTTACGTAAGTACAACTTATTAAAGCTCCATTTTTAAGTTCATGTAATTAACTGCAGATAATCATAATCAAATACAAGAAAAACATTTATGTTAAATATAGAAAATCTAAAATATAATTAAGAAAATTTCTAACAGAATATTTAATTATTATTATCTTTATAAAAAATTATATTATTAAACAAAAAATAAATTACTTTGTTATTAGACCTAAATTAAATTAAAATAAAAATTGAATTAAAAAAGTTACACCAAAAAAAACGAGAAATCTATAGTATATTATAAAGCATTTGACAAGAACTCTTAAAAACCATTTTTTATACATGAAGTACTGTTTAATAATGCATATTACTTAAAAATTCAAGATTACAAGAAAATTTTGCGTAAATATAACTTATTAAAACTCTATTTTTAAATTCGTGTAACTATCATGCAGATAAACATAATAAAATACAGGATAAATATCTAATTTTAAATAAGAAAATCTAAAAATAATTAAGATAATAATTGAGTTCTAACAGAATGCTTAATTATTATTTTGATAAAAAATTATATTATTAAACCAAAAATAAATTATTTTATTACTAAATCTAAATTAAATTATAATAGGAAAAGATTATAAGTGATTTTACGCAAGTACAACTTATTAAAGCTCTATTTTTAAATTCGTGTAACTAGCTGCAGATAAACATAATCAAATACAGAGAATAAACATCTATTTTAAATATAGAAAATCTAAAATGTAATTAAAAAAACCGTTGAGTTTCTATAACTTTTCGAGGAATCCTTCATCAGTGGTTGTGAATGACTGMTTTTTTCAATCTTTTCGATCTTGGTTCCGTAGGAGCAAGTCAGAGAGTAGAACCATGCGATAAAGTAGCTGGAAGACATGGAAATAAGGGTATCATTTCAAAAATTTTGCCTAGACAAGATATGCGACGTAAGGTGACCCTGCTTTTTCAGGGTAAGAAGGGGTAGAGAAAATGCCTCGAGCCATTGGCCCTTCCTTTAAGGGGTTGTTGTGTAAGACGTGAATAACGCCCAACATAACTGGATACCAACTCCTCAGAACTTAGTAAATTCAACTCCATTAACAGGTACAGAATTGTTTAATTATTATCTTTATAAAAAATTATATTATTAAACAAAAAATAGATAACTTTGTTATTAGGCCTAAATTAAATTATAATAAAAATTGAATTAGAGAAGTTACACCAAAAAGATGAGAAATCTATACTATATTATAAAGCATTTGACAAGAACTCTTAAAAACCATTTTTTATACATAAAGTACTGCTTAATGATGCATATTACTTAAAATTCAAGATTACAAGAAAATTTTACGTAAATATAACTTATTAAAGCTCCATTTTTAAATTCGTGTAACTATCTACAGATAAAAATAATAAAATACAGGATAAACATCTAATTTTAAATATATAAAATCTAAAACATAATTAAGATAAT